GTTAAATAAGAAATAAGCCAATCTTTTTTCCTTTGAGGTAATATTAAGTAACATTCGATATCTCCCAATCATTAGGTGTATTCGGTTATTGGGATTGAATATTCATTAGGTAGTATTCATAACTTTGACAGTAGTAAAAAATGAAGTAAAAGTGAATGTTGTTTGTTACTAGTAAAAGCTTGCTGGTAGCCTGAAGTCATAAACAAGTGTATGATAAATTTGTTATTTGAAAAGAATCGATTTATCCATTTTTCTTTAATTACAGAAAAGATTGTAAAAGATAAATTCCATAAAATATTTTAACTGAAAATGACGTTTTTTGTTCCATTGTCATGATTTCAGGGAATAATTTACGAACAATATCAACCCGTCAAAATCAGAGTGACAACGATTTGTATAGTTGGACATCCAAACTTCGTTCACATATTAACCGCAAGCCATAATAGTTTTGTCCAATGTACATGTCGCATATCCTAAACTATGCCGGTCTGCTCTTATTCCATTCTCACATATTATGTGATATTTGCATGCTCAATGGAATAAATAATAAGCTGTGTTTTAGATATAAATCTCAATTATTGATCAAATAAGAATCGTCAAAGTTTGTTAATAGAATTTTCAAGTATCAAGTGAGTCAGTTCATCAATTTTTTATTAAATATGATTTACTAATATATATTACAAGATATTTAATGTTATGATGATCAGAATAAATTATTTACAAGAGTAAAAATTAATGTTCTCCAGTAAACCGTGCGTCATGGTGGTAGGAGAAGGTCAATGCGTCTGCGCGACATTCGATCTCAGTATCGACGCGTTTTACGCAACACTATATTTTCTAGTTCATTATATTTTGCTTAAATATTTTTTTTTATTTTTATTCATTAATTCAACTGTGTATTTACCATAATAAACAATCCAAAAAATAACAGCTCTGTCCATACTAAATTATTTTTTTTAAATTAATGAACTTGAATTTTTAATGATTTCTCTGCTTGTTTGTGAATCTTTTTAAAAATGAATGAAATTATTTTTCAACCCAGAAATTTTCATGGAAAATTATTTTATTCTTGTTACAGTAAAATCGACAACAAATTCTTTTAAGTATTAATAATTAGTAATTTTCTGTAATTATTCATAAAATCATTAAAAATAATCAGCTAAAAGGATCCGATAATTACATTATTATAGATTTCTCTCTTTCTCGGATTGAATACGAAAAATTTTAAACTCAAACTCACAATAAAATTTCTGCAAATTAGATATCATTATTCTTGGGATTATAATAATAAATCAATAAATAAAATAAAATAAATATTTAATTGAATAGCATAAACTCGTTATTACTTACAGACCAAAACGTCTCATTAGACTATATTTACATGGAAGATCAAGAGAGTCGTAGACAGATCTTTGTGAAAAATAATGCATTGTTTTCGAGACACCTGTGGCCTTTGTCGTGACCCACAGCTATATCGATCCGTTTTGCGTGGTTTCTGCCTAGCCTTTGGTTACGATGTTACTAGCCAGGTGCCGCGTGATGATGAATAATCCGGTGTACAGGCAACCCCATTTGTCGAATATTTGCTTCATGTCTACGTACAGTGTAATTAAACATGTGAATCATAAGTCTTTATTACATTCATTTATATAAATATTGTCTCTGTTCAATAAATCTGTTCTTCATTTCCGGATGTTATACAAATATTATTATCATCACCAATTATTCATTTTATCATTTATCATAAAATGATAAATTTAAAAATAAATCGAGCTTAGAATATGAAAAATTTTTAATTTGAAATGTGAGAACATACATAATATTAATTAATAAATTATATTATCGGTTAATGAAATAAAAACGAACAAGTATACGCAGACATAATAGAATTAAAATAGTTCATTGAACTCTTCAATAACATTATTTTACAAAAAAATCCAAAGGTATTATTGTATCAAATATAAATGTCATAAATTTACATAACTAAAGATTACTTTTATTGCACAATATTGAAAATTTGATCAGATTATTTTGAAATGTTATATTCATTATATCAATTAATAGACAATTAAAAGATAAAACTCTTGTCATTTCTTTCTGAAAGAAAATTATGGTTACATAACTATTTCATATTTTCTAGTAATAATTCTATGTAATGTAAGCCTAAATTTTCGGCTTCACTTGGGAGCTCTCAATTTGCATCTGAAACCCCATTAGTTTTCCTTTCTTGAGAAAGTTTTTCTTTAGATTTTATAAATATTTTTATTTTGCCCTTGCTTTGACATAATCAATCATATTTTTTCTTTTAATTATTTTTAACAATCGCCGAAAATGATTTTTAATTGAATGTAGCTATAATTTTCGATAAAAGACGGCTGTTATTTATTGATAAATTTTACTGCAAATGTAATCTAATATTTATAATATTTAAAGTATGATGAATATCATAGAATTATATTGATATAAATATTCTTTTATAACATATTTGTAATACTTTATTGGATTTTTTTAAATTCCAGCTTTCATTAATTCCTTTTTATCATCCTTAAATTCTAAAAAGGCATTTCGCGAATTGATTGAATTATTCATTTTTGTTCGCTGATCTGTAATTTTTCCTTTAATCTTTATCTCATTTACTCTATTTCTATTCATTATTTTCTATAAAAGCGTATATGTGAGTGTATGTGCTAATTCGTGAGCACAGGTAGGAGTGGGAAACATGAGTACCCACATTTATCAAAATATAACAAAACCAATGTTCTGTAAAAATTTCATGATGATATGTGGTACCGTTCAAAAGTTTTTGTAAAGAGACAGACATGTCTGACCACATTGTACTTCATACGTTAAATAATGACAGTCATATCGTTGTAAGTAATAATTAAAAAAGTAGAACTTTACCTAAACCGTAATAGCACACAGTGAAGATTGAAGAGCAGAATACCGTAAGTCTGACTCAAGTCTCTGACACTAGTAAGTACAAGACTTGAATCAGACTTACGGTAGTCTGCTCCTCAATTACACTGTGTGTTACTAGAAAACATGTTTCTAGATCAAACAAACAAGTTTCAGTTTTACTATAAAATCTACTCTTACCTCTCGATTTTGAATATTGAAATTTTAATCCTAGAAAAATTTAAAATCACAATTTCGGTCTGATTAAAGTTTTACATACAATCAAAAATAAATTGGCATTTTTATTTATCTGATTTATTTCAATTCTAATCGAACAAGAAAAAAATTTGAACAATAAATATTATTATTGTAAAATGGTTTTAAAAGATAGTTAATCATTTTTTTGTGTTTTTTATGAACACGGAAGGTGAATTAGATTATTGGTTAAATTGAAAACCAATAATAGATATTTATAAAATTTGGATAAAATGTTATTATTACAATTAAAAGTAGAGTGGTTATTCATCAAAAAAAAACGCCGCACAAAAAATCGTAATGATAAACATTTTATCAGAATTCTATACAATTCACATAGTTTTTAATTGAACTCATAATTTGCCCTAATTTGTTCGAAAAATTAAAAATTAATTCCAATCAAGTACTAGTGTTCGTCAAGATAAGATTTTATTTCTGACTATGAATGAATAAATGAAATAAAGTAAAGTTTATTTGAACATTCTCTAATTTATTTATTAGTATGAGTAATATTCAGATTGAAATAAAGGTACTTAAAAATTAAAAACGATCATTACCAGATAAGATCTCTATATTTTCAGAATTTACTCTACTTCAGTATGAATAATAAAACGTACTTTCTTAAATTCTTTAATTTTTTTGAATAATGGTCTTAAAAATATTTAAAACTAACCAAAAGCATAGAAGTTAAAATTGACTTTCGAGATTTAAATGATAGAGTATATAGCGAATTCTTTTAAATGAGAAACATTAAAATGGATACATGAGATAAATTGTTTTATTTTAAGGTCTTCTTTCATCAAATATTCTCCCGTTGAATCTCCCATTACTTCTTTTGTTTTTTTCAAAGAAAATTCCCTTTTACTTACATCACTTTTATTACTTTTTTAGCTACAATATTCTCGATCTTATATCAATTGAAAAAAGTATATCTTGATCAGATCTGATTTCCTACCACAATAAACTTTATTTTATTGTCCGTTATTGCTGTTCATTTAGTTGTTACATCTTCTTATTCCTGGTAACCGACATCAATTCTGTAATGTTCTAATCCAGTTTGTTGTAATTACATTATTATTAAGAGATATTTAAATGAATATGGAAGTAGTAAGTTAACATATTCATTTAAATATCTCTTAATAATTCAAAGAAAATAATTCTAAATTTAAAAACAGTAAAAATTGATAACTAAGTTAATAAAAATAACGATAACTGTTTTAATTGATCTGATTTATCAACGGCAGAATAATTACAAATTCTTCAAACCATAATAGTCTTATATTCATTATACTCACTAACTTATGGCCAGTGGGCAACTGAAAAAGGCCATGTAAGCTTCCGTATTAAATACAATTGCTCCGTTCGCAATCCCTTAATGTTCTCTTTCATCAACACTCAAAAGTTCAACTAAAACGATTATTCTATTGAGCTTGTGAGGAATAATTGTATAAGACAGTTGAATATAATGTAAGAAAAATATTTAAAAACTTATACCATATGACCTTATCTGCTATTCAATTTTTATTACATTATTATTTCATCTTGAGACGATTTTTGAAATATATTTTATTATCTTATTGTCTACTTTCTAGAATATTCTACTTTTTATCATTTGAATAGATAATATAAGGTGAATATCTTACAATTTATTTGAGAAATATAAATTAATTATTTAAATCTTTCTAAAAATGTCGATTTATAGAATAAATTTTACAATTTTATTAACTTGAATTAACTAGAAAATTCCTTGACTTTTGTAATAACTTATGTTTTACAAGAAATAATAATTATTATTAAAAAATATTAAATTTAACGATTTATTGAGATCTTATTTCATTGTCTGTTTTTAGGTCACAAAAAATAAGAACAAGATGTACAAGAAGGTTTTGGGTTACTTCTATATGCATCTGGTTGATGACTTCAAAATATGTGACAGCCTCCAACTCATCAATTGGTTCTTCCACTACTAGACCACTTACGACAGAAATCGTTTATCAGAGATTCGCAATTGAGCCACAAGATCAAACAGCTGTTATCGGTAGTCGGGTCACGCTTCCATGCCGAGTACTCGATCAGAAGGGACCAATTCAATGGACGAAGGATGATTTTGGTCTTGGTGCCGTCAGGAACCTAACTGGTTATGAGCGCTATGCCATGATCGGAAGTGATGAAGAAGGTAAAGGTCGACTTTTTATTGAATCATATTGAAATTTTATTACATGTTCTTAAAAAAAACGCACCAAATGTATGACATCTCTTACTTATGGAGCAATGGTATATTTCTTAAACAGACTTTTAAATAAAACTATAAAATTATTATTATTATTTTAAATGTTTTACCACACTTGGAATAAATTGCTAGAACCTACCAGAAATGTACGGCAAAAATTCATATCAAAAAATTAATTATTCAATTACCATACGGTCTCACATAATTTTTGTATAGAATTGGGGAACTATGTCAGGCTATATGTGTAATTATTACTGTATTTAAGCGGTAAAGGAAGGTTTATCGGACATTAATTACTACTATAATTAGCTCAGATATTTGTAAAGACTAAAATAATTTTTAAAATAAATAACTAAAAATTAATTTAGAGTTAGTAGCATTAATTAGGTTCATCATCAGATTTCAGTAATTCAAAATCAGAAATTTTATTCGAGATAAATTTCATTTTTATATTTGATACAAATAATATTCGGCCAAATACAAACCATTACAACACGTCTAATGTCGTGTTGAAATGGATGACGTCACACAGGCATACATACAGTATTTGGTACCAGAATAGAAATCATTAACAATGAAATTAAAAATTTAGAAAATAAATTTTTCGGAGATAGTTAAGTATAATTATTGCTTACGGATTATCAAAGTCTACTTACACTGTAAATCCAAGTGTATTCTTGTTACACATCTAAACGTGTTAAATATGACGTCACTTATTTCATTATCATTGTAGTCACTTTTAATGCGTTGCTAAGTGTGTAAAAAGTAACTATAATATTCAGGAAATGGATGACGTCATATTTTACACGTTAAGATGTGTAACAAGAATGCACTTGGATTTGCAGTGTATAGATTCAATGTTCTAGCGGAGATATCCCGTCGGCGTGTGTCAATGTCGTCCTCCAACTCTAGGTCATTTCAACATCAATCGGGCGTTGTAAATCTTCAGTCGATCAAACGGATTGTTGTGATGATTGAAGCCAGTCGAATGGACCCAATATCACAAATTTGTGTCAAGATTCGCTTGAATTAGACCTAAAATTATTTATTGATCGTACTGAGAGAAATATACAGTTGCATTTACTATTAATAGTTTGAAAAGGACTCAGCTTTTTTTTGTCGAAAGAAAAATTAATACAAGATTGAAAATCCAACTATGAGACTCAACTATTAATTATTTATTGATTGGTCAAATTCGACTTAGTAATGGTCAAAAACGACTTAAATTAGATGAGCTCGTACAGTGCAATCGACACTTACCTCTATTATCGTCAAGGCGGAACTGTCGTCTTTACAAGTGGTGGAGGATTTTAATTCTGTATCGTAGATCTGAAGTCATCAATTATTCATTTTTATTATAGAAATGAATTTCAGGTCAATAAGGTGAGTTGGTAACTTATCAGGTCCTCTAAATTAAAGGACTAAGCAAGGAGCAATAAAAGTAACCGGACATGTCTATCAGATTATAATATATAAAACTTTTTTGAAAAGATTTACTTTTCACATGAAAAGAAAATGTACACGTACTTATCTTTTTGGTATTTTATCTTTAAAAAGTGTATGCAGAAAATATATATCTGGTTCTACGTATATCAAATTTAAAGTTAATAATGTCACCATGTTTACTGCAAGTATTATAATTATTATTAATTAATTATAATTAAAACAGTTAATATATTTAAAGTAAGTTACATATTAGATTACATTTATATTCTAGAAATATTAGTCAGTTATAAATTCATATTTAATACGCTGAATCAAAATACTACTTTTAACTCAAAATTCGTTATTTAATTAAATGTAATTGTCTAAAAAAATTAACTCACTTGAGCGAAAATGAAATTTTAAAATTTTTATATCAAATCAAAAAATAACTAGCAATTGACCTCCTTCAAGAAATTATTCAAGATATGACATTCTTTATCACGAAATGCATGAAATTATTCGTCATGTGAGTGGTTAAAAAAAGGAATTCAATTTTTCTTATATGATTACAATTAAATGTTTGAATGTAATTCCAAAAAACACACTTGGAATTAATGGTGTCGATAAAAATGTTAATTTCAAAAGAAATAAACGATTTGTAGGTGATTTTTAGTAGTATGGTACTTGTCTGTATGAGGGGTTTCTCTTTCAACCTCTTCGAAACCAACGTTCATGAAGGAAATAGAGCATATTAGAGCTTTACCTCTAAACTCCAACCTCTTCTACTCTTTAGATATCTAAAGCATTAGATTCCATATTAATTATAATTCCAGTTGAAAAAGATTTATAAGTATACTCTTATATAGGAGAAGTATTTATTATAGAAATATAGCACAGCTATTAATTGTTTTGCTAATCTTCACAGATGAAAAAAAAAAGTACTGGTTAATCGAAACATATTCAAGAGGGTGGGAAAGAAGAGGTTTCACAGGCAGAACCCTAGTATGCACTGCTCTTTTTATACACAGTGGTGTCTGTACTTTCCTCAGTGTTGTTTTCTTTTGAAAAGGTCAAAGGAAAAACCTTTCATACATGCTTGTACTGTGCTATTGAAGCGAACCGAAAATTTTTGATTCTATTGTTCTTGAAATAAACATTTTTAACTGTCTTTGACCTTACCTAACTCTTTTATTGGGATAGCTAATATCTAATTTCTTCAATATTATTTTAATGGCAAAATTATTCGAAAGTTTGAAAAAAATTTCTTAAATTTATTTATTAATAATTAGTTAGAGAAGAAAATTTTAGAAGAATAAAAGTAGTTTAAAAAAATTCTGAATACTAGAACTTAAAAACTTTTCTTAAATTTTCAAATTTCATTAACTATGTTACATATTCTTTCTTTCTTATGAAAAATATTTTTAAATTGAATTAGCTCTGTTCAAATAGAAATTTCAGTTGGACATGCCTAAAGATCTATGAGAATTTTCAATTAGGACCTAATAAAGACCACACTAATAACTCTGCTCAGGTGCATTTAATATCAGAGGAGAAATTTGGATTATGAATTACTTTTTGTTTTTATTAAATCATATTTTACTCGATTAAATTACATAGAGAAATTATATGACAAAAATTAATTTGAAATGATAATTATCAAATTAGTCTTAATGACTAACAATAGGTAACAACTTGTTGTTTGGAGGAAAATTGACAGTTAAAGTAAAATTCTTTACTAAAAATATAATAAATCTTCATTGAACATAAAAATGAATGCTACAATATTTGACAATGCTTACTTAAGCATTACAGTGATAATAATAACTAGTCACAGTACTGAAAACAAAGTATCAGAATAATTACTAATAATCTAACTGCTAATATAACTTAAAATGAATTAGAAAAAATTATTTAATAAAATTTTACATAATTATTATATTTCTTTTTAATTATAACAAGTTTGATGATTTTTACTCAAAATTTTTGAACATAAAGTACGATATAATTTGCTTCATGTACAAATACTTCCATATTTACTTAGTTGTAATTACTCGAATAAAATAAATATCATTTTATTTAATTATCATACAACTTAATCTTAACAAACTTAACTTTAAAGACACAGTATTATCATTCAAACCCCTCATCGTTAAGTATATGGTTAGTTTGGTATTAACAAATAATTGTTTTGTCAAGTATTTGTAAATATTTATTTTCATGTATCTAAGTATTTCAATTATTAGTTAACTTTATATGTCCATGTGAATTGATAGATAAGATTACATTATTATGTGTATTAGAAACCTTTAAATCTAGGAAGTCATTTTGCTCCGGACTCTCTTATGTACATAAATAAAAATAAGTAACAGAAGAAAATTTCAAAAAAATATTAAAAAGTATTTACCTCATTATTTTTAATAAAACAAAATGAGATAAAGATGATTGATTCCTGAAAATCAGAACACAACTTTTCAATCTTACTAATAACAAATGATAAAAATACTTACGCTTTAATGTGTAAAAATTAACTACAAAATCCTATAATTAAAGGATAGAATTTTAACATTAAATGCAATTTACGTGTACCTTTGCAATACATATGAATTCACAATGTAATGATTCTCTCTCATTTATTTAAAGAGTATATATTTTTCTTTAATAAACAATTATTTAATTGTTATAAAAGGTCTCTTATTTCAGTTATAATTATCAGATTAAAATGTTTAAGAACCGTGTTTGATTTAATTACTCATATAAACAGTAGATAAACGAATCTTCATGCCTATTAAACAACTTAATATAGATATTGAGTGACATTTCAATAATTAAAATTGACAAAATTACTGATGGATTGATTATACTTATAATATGCATAATAAATAATGTTTGGACTGCATACAACTATACTACTGTAACAGTATTCCATCAGTTATAAGTAACTCTGTTATACCAGAGAAGAATATTTATGCATTCAATCTTGAATGTAGAGTTAATTCAGTTGAATAACAAAAACAATTGAAAATTGGTTTCATATCTCTAACAATTGAACAGATGTACGATTATTATTAAAAATATGAACTTTTAATGTTATGAATTCATTGATCTAATATTCCCACGTATGTAATATGGCAACAAACCAAATATTTTTGTACTATTTTACTTATTGTTAGCTCGATTGATTTTTAATAAGTTAATAATGCTGCATCAAAAGAATCATTCATAACTATGATCATTCAAACTATTCCAAAGCTATTATGATTTTAATTCTTTTATTCCAATGAAAAATTATAAAACTAAAATTATTCTGAATGTGATTTAAAATTATCTGAATGGAGAAAAATTTATTTAAATTTTCGTTTGACAATTTTAATAAGAATTTTAAATTATTTTTTTAAATATGTTTTCAAAAATCATATATGATGTTTTAACACTACTCTTTGAAAATGAAACAGTATAAATAATGAAATACACAGCAAAATCAATAAATATTCACTGATTTTGCTGTGTATTTCATTTTTTTTTTCACTATTTCATGTTTAAAGAGTATATTTTTTTATCTCTTATATTTAAAGTCTGAAATTTTTTTGTCACCCAAGTATATTTGATACTTGAAAATGCTATCGATAATATTATACAACAGTATGTATCGTTTTTTCGTCTTTTAAATTTTTTTTTTAGAAACTAAATATGAACTTTAGATTTCAAATTCAAAATATTTAAAGTATGTCAAAATAACACATCTGAAATTTGTTTGATGCAAAATTTTCATAAAAAAACTATAGATGTTTACACTTTTTGAAATTTTCTAAGAAATAACTATAAGGTATATAATGAAGTAATTTTCACTCAACAATTTTCTCCACGGATAAAATTGAATTTATCATTTGTTATAAATTGAATGTACCAGAATTTAATTTATTTCTTCAACCAAAAAACTAATAAAGCTATTTCCTCAAACTGTTTCTCAATCATCTAATCTCTCTGGTACGATATCAAGATGTTGGAGTTGAAATTATTGAGGTGAAAAGAACATCTCAAAGATAAAACAGAGGTTAATAACCTTTCTCAAAGATACATTTCTAAAGAAATCATTTAAAATGTTGTTTGATATAAAAACTTTTTATGCTCAAAGACAACTGAGTTATTAAAGCAAATCATTGAATATTTAATGCGATAAATAAATAATTGAGATAGTCGATGAGGGCGTCTATTGCGATAGTAAATTCATACGATGTCGATAACACAACGCAAGTGGAGAGTTTGAACGCTTCGCTCCCGGGCTTTCAAAGCTTCCAACAGTCGCGTTGCTATGCAATAACGTCCATAATTCGATGAAGGAAATTAGCAACGGTTAGGCCCGTAACCGGAGACGACGTAATGGATAATGCGGGTCTCATTTTTTCTTATGTGCTTTCTTTCTCTTTTTCTTCATTCCCATTACCAAGTCCCTGAATTGTTATTTCGATCTGCATCGCATAAATTTAAACTTGAAACTGACATTAATTAAAACTATTAATATCATCGTCATAACGAACATTCTGGATCACGTTCATGCACCTGACCACTATTTCCGCCGATTATTTTATTTATACGACAGAATAAAAAGATTATTCTTTGTCAGCAACATTTTCACGGATTCGCAGTGTTATTAGTGGAACTCGGAGTAAGACGGATCCTACAAAGCTGTTAAAATAATAATTAATAATAAAAAAAATTCTTATTATGTGTATTAGTCAATTTAGAATTCAAAAAACCCTTTTGAATTGAAATAGCTGTGAAAATTATTATTCTAAAGCAACTATTTCGGTAGAATTTTTGTAGAGAAAATTAGGAAATTAGACCATAATCACTTTGATAATCTAATATTTAGAAAAAGAGTATGAAAGTATTACGCTTAGAATCGCCAATACTATTATGAAAACTGAGATACTATCTATAAATATACTAAGCTTTAATTTACCTTCTATTATACGCTTCTTCATACTCATATTAAATTACAGACTATTCCCTTTGTTTCATGTACATTTTAAATTGATTATACAAGCTCTGATTATGCTAAGTAGTTCACTATTTAAAAAACGTAAACAATGTTAAATGAGTTACTCAGTAGTAGATAAATCTTTTTTCTTCACTCAACTTTATACTTTCTACTTTATTTTGTATATTATATCCTTTAACTACTACAATGTAATGCATGTATATCGATTTGCTGTAGAAACATTATTCGCAAGAGCGTGCGGCAAATGTTTCAGAACTAATTCAAACTTGACAGTAATTACGTAGGTGAAGTCATTTTCGTAAGTCCGGTAAGACAAGTACAATAATACATGTGTATAAACTGTGACAATAAATGTATTATGCATTCATAACTAAAAATGTCAGATTGTGACAACAATTAAAGTTGTTTCCACGACACGTTGACGACAATTATTAAAACTTTAGGTACAATATTGGACAATTTATATCAACCGTTATAAAAGTATTGTACTTCGAGTGTATGAAAGAATGTTTTTGTGTTTCTCTTAAATAAAAAAATTCACACCCAAAATATTTCAATTATAAAGCAAAATATTTTTAAAATTCGTCTGAACAATTAAACGCATAAAATTTATACATTTTTATATACAATTTAAATAAATATATGTCACATGAGAGAAAGTTATGCTTCGTTTTAAAATAAATAAAAATTATATTTCTATTCATATGTTATTTTTTCATGTTGCATCATTGATTGATTTAGATACATATTTATTAAGTGAATTACGAGACGTTTATTTGGAGCAAGTAAATACATGTAGTTTCATATTAAACGGATATTTTTTAGCATTGAATAATTATAAACTGATGACAGGATTTCAGGTAATAATAGTCAATGAATTTACTCAATTACTACAATAACAAATTATAATAATTGTTTATTCTGTTTAAATCACTATAATCAAATGAATAATTGATTTAAAAATAATCTCGCATTGTGTATTTATTTATTTAGTTTTAATTTAATTACTTCAATTAAATTTATAGTATTTTGTTTATTCATTTCAAGTGCCTTTATAAGATTACAATTGTCTTATATATAATTGTATTTATTCATTGTGATGACTGAAACTTGAAGTATGCAGCCGGTCATCGCTCGAAAGCTTTTAGCTTCGTGAATTATGCAATATTTTTCGTATTATGTATTAATAAATAATAACAAGAAACAAAATAATAATAAAAAATAAGAAGATACAGTATGGTGCAATATTAATAGTGATCCAACTGCAGTAGTAAAGTAGAAACTTGTAGTAATAGAATAATAGTGAAAGAAGAATTTAATTAAGTAGTAACAGTCGTGAAGAAAATAAAGCAAAATAAGTAAAGAAATAATTTAGAGTAAAGCAAAAGGAGAAGAGAGAATTGTCATGCACACTATGGACACTTTGGATGATCAAAATTCCAGCTCTTCAAACAACGATTGTTTGGGGAATTCGGGGATTAGGTGATTCCTGATTTGCATTTATGGCAAAGAAGTTGAATATGGTCCAGCTTATTTTATTATTTTTTTATTTTTCTCTTACACACAGTTTATTCATAATTTTTCGGTTAGATTAGTCTTTAGTTAATCTCGATCTTTTAAATGCATGCTCTTCTTTATAAATAATCCTAGAGTAAAAAAAGCAGAGTCGCCATATTTTTTTTGAGAAATCAATATTTTGCAATAAAATTAATATTAAGTTATAATTTTCTTTTTACAAACATGTAAATATGAAATTTTTTGATTAATAATTTTTTCCGAATTTTTTTTTAATCATATATATTTCATGTATTGATATATATCATGTTAGTTTGGTGTAACCATTTGATGCATCATACACATTTTATTCATTAAATATTTTTTTTTATGTTTTTTTTATATTTGTCAAAAGATTTTACGCATGAAAATTTCACTTTTTGTTGTTTTTCAACTTTGAATTTTACATTTGAGTTATTCTTCTCTTTAGTCAGTCATTTTTTACCTTTACTCTTCTGATTTTCACTTATTACTTTTAGGCACCAACATAGTATCTCTACCATTTTTGTGGTATGACACATCTTCTTTTCAAGAAAGAAAAGAGTAACATTACGTTTCATCTATTTTTGAATGAGAAAAAATATTTTTTGATTTACATCTTGAAGAAAAAATTGAATAAAATACAGAGATACGAAATTTAAATGAAAAATAATGAAAACCCACCTCTTTTATAGATGAATTTTCGATGACAAAATTTGTCAAGCTTGTCTCCATTTACTGTAATTTTTCAATGTACAAATATTGAAAGCATCAGTAATTTTTTAGATCAAACGATATTTATGGCTATAAAATAAAATCTATTACATTAATTAAAAATTTTTATTAATTACTTAAATTTGTAAATTTTTAAATAAATTGATATTCGAATAGAGGTCAGATTGTTTTTAATCTATCCTCTTGAATTTTTTTTAAAAATAAATAATTGAAGTTTTGAAAATAAATAAGCAATTTATTTGTAAAAAAAAGAATTCAAGCTAATGGAAAAAATATCACGAACTTATGTTTTTTCTTTTTAAAAATTGGAATTGACTAGTCATTTCCAACAACAAATTTTTTCAATATTTTTTACCATTAATTAAAAAAAAATTTAGAAACTTGATTAAAAAAATCATTAGTCAACGTTTACAGCAAAAAAAAACCGTTCTTCAATAAGATTTGATTTTCCTCTCAAATAGCTTAGCTCTAAAATTTGATACCATTTAATGTTTTTTTTTTACGAACCTGAGATAGATTTAGCAATCGCCTTATCTCTATTTCATCTATACTCCAACGTTAATTAAATCCCTTAGTTTTTTCACACATAACAATTAAAAAACAATAAAACAAATTATTTCTGTTTTAGGTGATTTTTCACTGCACATATATCCAGTCGAATTGGAGGATGATGGAAAATATCAATGTCAAGTTTCGCCTACGGACGATGGCCAGCCAAGTTTGCGATCGAGATTTGCACGTCTAAGTGTTCTTGTGCCGCCGCAAAAACCTAAAATCCTTCAGGGTGACTTTCTTGTTACAACGGAAGACCGAGAGCTCACGATGGAATGTATTAGCGTGGGTGGAAAACCAGCCGCAGATGTAAGTGTATTTAAGTAAACTTATTTTTTCGTAAAATAGAGAAAAATGGCATGAGATATAAAAAGAATTGAGTTTTTAGTATATATCATATAGAGTGGATGGATTATAGGCTCTTATCGAGGCATAAAGTTTATAGAACAAAAGCGAAAGATATGACATAAATTCACGTAGACCAAAGACTTCTAAAAGTTGCAGCGTGTCGCGACGACAAAAATGCCGCAGGGCGAGCACTTGACAACCAAGTGGAATAGGGATGTTCTCGACTCAGCCACTTGAACCTTCGCCTTCTTTCTTACATTGTTGAGTTGAGGCGACTTGTACTGTTAGATATAGATAAGAGCTGCACTAAGGAGCTTCTGACACTTGCTCTATTCTTCTCAGCCTCCGTCATTTAAAACCTCAGTATCATTAAAGTTTTGCAGTTTGCCAGACTCTTCAACTCTTTCCGTCACGAACCCTCATTACTTGTATTTAAATATAATTAAATTCTAATGTGTTTATTTTAAGCCTCTCTTCAGCTTTTTACTCTTAGTTTTAATGCTTCATCATTAATTACGTGTCACAAACAAATGTTATCTTATTTCTTACCAATTAGATAATATCAAATCATCTTCAATTTTATAAATTTATCAACTATTTCATAATGATAATTAATGCCATCATCATCCATAATTGAAAAAACTTTCCAACTTCTTTCTAGATTGTGCATTTACTCTTTGTTTTATGAGGAAAGTTCATTTTTTTGTATTTCAGTAAACGACTTAGTAATCAGATCAACGTTTCTTTTCAAAACAACTAAAAATATTTCAGAGTTTTAAATAAATTTTATTAGATACAATAGATTCAAAATTAATACAAAATTTTTAGTAACATTTGACGAATAATAAAATAGTTAACATGACCAATATATAGGGACTGGGTATCAATTAAAACAAATATTGAAATATAACAAAACTAAAATAAAAAATTGAAATCAAAATTTTTATAAAAAACAAAAAAAAAATAATAATAAAATGAAACAATAGTTTTTAGAAGTTATTTTTTATTGACAAATATTTCACCAATAAAAGTGATTTATTTTTCAAAAAATTCTCTCTTATTCATTCCATCATTGGCTTATAATACTGTATTTTATTTGAAATATCGACATATGTGCAAAACGTCGGAATTAACTGCCAATAATATAAAAATAAAAGATATGTATAATTAATTGCTTTAAATAATGTGCATCGTCGTCTATAGTTCATAGCTATTAATTACACTCCATCTTAGCTATCACCTGTACATTACAAAATAATATATATCATGCATTCATATTCTTTCCTCACCCATCATTATTAATGAGTAATTAGTATCAGGTGTATACTTGTCTATTTAATTACTATGTATATAACTTTAGAGCTCACTCCTCATTATTTTAACAAACAGTAATATTTAAACACTAATATATCTGGTAAATAGAATAATATATTTCTTACTATTATTTCATCATTTTATTAGATGAAAATTTTTAATAAAGAATAAGGAAATATTAATCTTAATTTATCATTAGCTTAAATTTTCCAATACTTTTTTCATGAATTATATTGGCAAATTATTTATACAATTATAATAATTGATAACAAGATTAGATGTATTAAACGTAGATTCTAACAAAAGAAATTGGTTTGAGTTTAAACTTTACTACTCACATCAGAAATTCATTCATAATCATGATAATAACGATAATATAATAACAAAGGATTTAATTAAATTATTTGTAAAAAAAACTTATAGCTTTTAGTTATTGAGTGTCGGAAGTTTTTTTTTAGCCATAGTCATCCTTTCAGAATATCCTATGATATTTAGAGTAAGTTTTTTTTATAGATATCTGGATTTTGTTGGATTTAGATAACATAGAAAAGTGAAAAGTATTTTTCAATTATCTACAAATTTTTATTTACTGTGATTCTAGAGAAGTAGATTCGGTAACATTGGAGCTTAAAAAACACAGATTCACCATTTGAATTCCTAAAATTAATTGAATTTTAGATTTACAAGAATAAGTTATTTATTTGATTTCTTATAGCAGACTATGAATTTTATTTTTTTAACTAAAATTAAATGTCTATTCTTGCTATAGAAGATTCTCGATGTAGAAGATAAATATATGTTTTTTAATAGTAATAATACATGAACAAATATGTAAAAAAATAATCACTCTTCACATGAAAGTAAATTTTAACTGAATTTGAATGGTATACTGTTTATAGTAGATTAATATTCTATATTTTTGAACTTTAATGATGATCAGTAAGTTTTAACTCAAGTCTCAATATAGTGATAAACTATTTCTTATTCTGTTGATAGTCTTTTTTATTTGAAATTAATAGTTGAATTGAAACCATCTCTCTGGACGCTATTTCGGATAAAACAAAAATTATATTATTATGGCTCACAATAAAGTTTAAATTTTCAATAAAACATGGAAAAAAGGCATACACACATAGAGAAAATTTTCCTAATTTTTACTGACTATAATTTCAAAATGGGAATAAATTTATAAAGCCTTGTAAAAATGATTTCAATTGTAATTCTCTTTATGACAATACCAATAAATTTAACTTCACGAAACATTACTCAGATATCAGCATACATAAAAGAAATTCCTATGAATTTTTGGACATTTAATTGGTAGCAATAAAGTTCTTTACAAGCTCATATTTTATTATTAATTAAAAATTTGCTGACAGTTAACTTTTGTCAATGTATTCCTATATGTATGCCAACCAGCAATCAACTCATTTCTTACTTCTCGCAATTTTCTTTGTTTGAAAAATGGCATTGTTCTGGTTTCAAAAGAAATTCTACCATCAAAATATTCAATTGAGGGATGAGAACATCTATCTTTTTCTGAAGATATTTTATTGTTCATACTTCAATCCCAACTCTTTGTCTGGACATTGTATCTCTAGTACAGTTTCGTTTTGATATCTTTGTCCTGATTTTCTTACAAGTCACGAGTGTATTTTGTACACTTGGCTCGTCGTCTTATCCACTTGCTATATACTACTATGGTATATACATTTTTCGTGAAAACTACTACCCTATAAATCTTCAAGAGAATCTCTGGTAACTTTAGACCTACGGAAATACCTTGAATGTAGGACTTCATTGATGCTTTAACTATATCCGCAGAAAATAATTGAAGTATACACAAAATATTTAGACCAACAGGTGGCCTGAAAGATAAAATACATTAACCCATTATTCATGTCATATTTGTTATTAATCTGGACCAGTGATAATTAATAGCTTCAATTATCACCATATTTATATTTTATCCATATACCGTATCGTATACACTTATTTTTTTTGTTCTGCATCCAAATGTATTTAAATATCCATAGATATGAAATTTATTAAAATCCACTAGTAAACAAGTATATTTCAATAAATGTCGAGTATTATTTTATTTTTGAATATTAACTAAATTATATTCACATTACAAAAAATATATTCATTTGGTATACATTATATTCAATGTTTTTAGTACACCTCTTACATTCTATTTAAAATGAGAAATAATTTTTTATATTTAATTTATTCAATCAATTATCAACGACTCATTTGTATTTATATTAAATAAAAAAAGATATTTCTATTATTTCTCACGGTATGCTTGTGTTGAAATTTTTACAGTTTCCTCACTACATTCCAAGCCTTACAATCTTTAACACTCTTTCCCACTTATCCGAAAGGCTACTTCCGTTGTGGCCTTTCAGGTTACATCAAAGTACAGAGTAACTGCAAAAAACATGTGTCGACATATGTGACTCCTGTTTAATAGAACCTTCTACTCATTAAAAATCATTGACCATCTATTGGGTATTACTCAGTTCCAGATTTAAACCCGCAATCCACCGCATGCCAGTGATACACTAAACAATACCGTACCTATTAGATTAGCTAGCTGACCTTTAACATCTATAGTATTGCTACTATAGCAATATTCCACTTGCTTATTCATTTAAGATAGTTGTGACAGTCATCTAGATAGTTATAATAGCTATTCAAATATTTAAAGCAGACAGAAGGATTGCTGTGACAGTAGTCTACTGTAACTATCCTTTAAATTACTCCTGCAATGATTTTTTTTCAGTGAAGAGTAAATATAACAATTTATAAATATCGTAATAATGGCTGTTACCAAAAGTATGAAGCAAAAATTTTTCATCTTTCTCTGCAATAATTGATTTCAAGAAAAATTACTTAGAAAGTAAATCACTTCATTTACCAATAGATTAACTTATTAACGTATTAATAAAATCAATGTTATAATTTGACTCAAAAAAATGAAAAGACGTTGTAATGAATTTTATATATATATCTTAGAAATAAAAACAATTAACTGGTAATAATGAAATCAATTTATCTAAAATAAAATTTTCTCTTTTGGCATGACAAATAATTATGCTATGTTATGATTAAAAATTTAATAAAACTTGAGAACATTTCCTGATTTATTTAGATTCATTTTTTATTGGTTTCAATGTACTCTAGCTAATCAATTTCTTATCTGGAATAATTAATGATAAATTAAATAGGAATAATGTTAGTTTAACTTTTACATGTGAATCTGACTATACCATTAATGATACCGAATAGATTACAGCTGATTTTACATTAATAATACACATTTTAATGGAACCAACTCATTTGTATCAATTATCTTGTGGTTCTTAATCAGCACCAGCTTTGGATTGTAGTAGACCGCATTAAAGTCGAGTGTATCTTCGACAAAAAATCAATATAGAGCTGTAAATTCATTGGAATAAACTCTTTAAACCATATTTTTTTTTATCTGCAGCTTCTTTAACATAAAACTTTAATAACAGTTTAATCATGAAAATTATTTAAAAATTTGTCTCAAAAAACAATTTTAATGAATAAATTGAGATATTCAATTGAATTGAGATCCAATATTGTACTGATAAATTAAACATTTTTAATTTACTCTC